ACTTTTTTTTTCTTAAACCTATAACTTGAAAGGTTACAAAACAAAAATTAATAAAATTTTGTAACTTTCATAGTGCTAAAAAAAAAATTGAAATTTTATTTAGTTCTTCCAAATTAAAAAAAATATATAATAAATTACTACTGATAATAGTAATTAATTTTTTCAAATATAAATTCTGGAGAAATTAAATTGCTTTATATCAACTGTTATATCTATACGAATGGCATAGTAATACATTTCAGATAAAAAAGTAAAAATGTATTTTTACTACTTGAAAATTGATTTATGTTTAAGTACAACTTACAATGTTTACAATAATAAATATTTCATATGATGGAATAAACTTATTACATATTTTTAACTAACTCATAATACTATATTACGTTGAGAATTATTTTTTTATTTATTGTGAAATACTTACTCGTTTAATGCTTCTAATTTAAAAATATTTTAGTTGAACATTTTTAAAAGATAGTTGTGGACACGTTTTAGTAAAATTTGATAATTCTGTTACATTGTTTTTTTTTATAGTTCCTAAAAATGTTGACTTAAAGTAAACATTTTACGATAATTATTTAAACATGTGTTAAATAAATTTTTATTCATTCTTAGAAATTATATCTATAATCTTTATCTATAATTATCAATACTTACAGTAAAATAGTATTTTTAAATTAATTAATGATATCATCTAGTATAATTATAAAACAAAAAGTATTAAAAAATAGTTTTATGTTTTCAAGTATTATTATTATTATTGAAAGGCCCATTGTATTTATTTTTGCAGTAATTTCTTTAACAGTTTTAGGAATATAATTATTATGTTCCTGAAACTTTTAATTATAATGTTAATGTTAGCCTTTTATACATGTTAGTGTATTGATCTAAATATTAATTATTCTTTATATCTCTAATATGTACAATAAATTTGGATTAAAAATTATATTTTGATTTTATGCCTCAATTATTTTTGGTTATCAATTAAAATTTTATATTTATCTATAAAGTTATCATAGTGATATCAATGATAGAATTTACTTTATATGGACACAAGTATAATTTTATAATTTTTTAAATTTAAAAATTGAAATATTTTTTTATTATTCATAACAATGTGATCTACATTAACATAAGAAATTTATAGTATAAGCTATATTGTTAGAATGTATTGTAAATTCATTTTTATTTAAAACATAAAATCGTTAATCAGTTGTTGAATAAAATGTTTATATATATTAATAATATTTAGTTTTATAAAAATTAGTGTGTTTAGATAAATAGTTACTAAAATGCATAAAATTTTAAGATAACTTAAGTTATGAATAAATAATTTAATTAAATAAAATATAATTTCATCTTGTAGCAAATATCGTTAATTTTAACTAGTATTTTAATAAAATGTTCGAGTTTTTAGTTTAATATTAAGTGGCATTTGAATTTTTAATAAAACTTAATTTGTATATTTGATATAAACCTTAAAGTTTCAAATTTTTGAATTAATATACATGTATAATACTCAAAGGATTACAAATACAGGTAGCTAATTTATATTGTATGATGTTGATTTTGGCAGATATGCTGCATTTATTAGCAATGGTAGTAGGGAACATTGTTGTGAGTTTTTAAATACTCTAACTGGCAATAAAGATAGCATATCTATTGATAGTCATAATTGAATATAAACACTCCGTGATTGTGATAACGACGTCATAAAAAATTAATTAGTTGCCTTATAAGGTTGTTAACTTTATTCTTTTATGGCAACATACATATTTTACTAGCTTATAAAATAAAAAATTATCTAATTATGAAAATGAATGTTAGATATTAATTAAAATCTTCGGATAATATCGTGGCACTTTCGCTGCATTGGCAATGCGGATCATCCTCTGGAGTCAAAATGTTTGCAGCGTTTATGATGACGTTGCACGGGTGCGGATCAGTTCGTCGAGTCCGGTCGTGTGTCACTTCGGGAGCCGGTGGCGTACACCCTCAACATTGTCACTTTGACGACGGGAAGACGACTCAACGTATCATTTGTGGCGGGTCGTCGTTGACTGTGTGGCACTTGCAAGACTTAGTATCATAGCGTTGGTCAGTCAAACTACCAATACTCATAGAATGGCGAAGACTGATAAAAGTGGTGGGGGTGGTGGGCCACAGTGTATTACGAACGATGTCATATAGAATCTTACAGGCGGTTAAAATACATAATACATAACATAAACATGTAATGGGTTAAACGCGTACGCTGACAGTTCTTTTACGATCAATTGACGTCTCTAATTTATAATGCATTGAAAATCGACTACTAGTGATCCGTTCATTTTTTATGACTGTTAAAACTGTGATAAATCTTTTTTATGTATCCAACTGTTTTTTTAACTACGCCATTTAAAAACATATTTTTAATTTTTATGACATTTTTTCTATCAGAAACGTATCTAGAAAATTTGTTTTTTTAACTCTTCCCGGTTGAACGTTCCGTTAATAATTTGCATATCGTGTTCATCTTTCAGCACATATATAATGAGTTTATGTTTGTTTTAACTATGAAAAATATTTCATTCGACCAATTCTGTATATCCTTTGACGAAAGCGGCTTTGTTTTTACTTATCCGTACTGCTTTACTAATATTGAGTATTTTTCGCGTAATTTTAGAATAATACGGTAAACGATGAAACCGTAAGGTATCGGGTTTAATACCTCTCTGTATTAGAAAAGTTTTCAGCTCTTTATTGAAAAATGCTAAAAATGTCGTCGTTAAGACATCAATTACAATTTGAATCAATTAAAACCACATTACATGGCTTTTATAAGTTGGGAATTATTTGAACATCCGTATTTACCACAAGTGACAAACACATTCGTAGACCGTGAAGACATCAGTACATATTAAAAAACCTACATATGTGATTATAGCGTTTCAAACTAAATGTAAAAACAATACACCTGCAGATATGACCCGATTCGATCATTGTTCTCTATCATCGCTCAAAGTTATTTTAAATTCAGAATCTTATCTATATGACAGTTTAAACATTGATTTCGATATTGATAAATATTCAGCATTATATCAAATGTATTCGACATATAAAGATAACTTTTATAATACTGATAATGATGATCCTATTTTGACTAAAGAAGAATTCAAAGATACTGCTTCTATGGTTGTCATTGTTTTTCCAAACAGAAAGAAATAATTAAAAGTGCTCCTGTAGACGTTTGCATTGAATTCAAAACCAAGATTCGTAAACCAAACGATACGTCAACATATTGTCTTATATTTCATGATAACATTTTCGAGTATAACGCATTGACTAGTGCAATATACAAGGTGGATTAGTCTATGAAACTTGAAATCAACACATTTTACAGTGATAATTTCTGTACTGTAATTTATAAAAATTTACAATTTTAAATCATTATATTATTCTTACATTATACTCTTATAACATTTGTGTTAAATGTAAATAATGTAATTGCAAATTACTCTTATGATAAACACAAATATAAATCAAATGCATGTAAAATATTTCCAAACATATTTTTAAACTTTAGAGTAATAAATAGTAAAAATAGAGCAATAAAATTATGAAGTTTAACGGAATAAATAAAATAAAATTGTATCGATTGACAAAACCAAAATTATATTTTGAACTGTAATCTTATTACAATAATGAGTTATTATGAATTAAATATAAAATTAATCAATATCAGTGGCGCAACCAAAAAATAATTTCATGGGGGAAGTTATAATTTCAAAAATAATGATGTCCTCTTTTCTTTTCTCAACATATATTTTTAATTTGAATCGCTATTCAAATAAGCGAAAATAAAGATAGTTTTCAAAAAAATCATTATGCATGACTAAAAAATTCAATCATCGCTCATTATATGAAAAGCAGATTTACGACCCACTCTTCCATTTTGATTGCACCAACAATAAAAATATTTAAATAAAATTTTTATTTTTTTTTTCAATTTTTCTTATTAAAATTTATTAGAAGTTCAGGTTTTCAAATCACAATTGATGGGGAAACCGAAAAAGATTTTTAAGAGCTTTTAAGTACTTCTCACCTTTGACAAACCATGGTTGAGACTGAAAAACAAAAATTAAGCTATAAAAAAACTCAAAAATGCTTAATACAAACAAAATAAACATTTTTAATTTTTTGTTGAATACACACTGCTTTTATTTTTGTTATTTATCGTTTCATAATAATAATCAAATTTGTACGCGACGGTAGGATGTAGATACTGTTTTTTATATGTAGTAGTATGCTACATACATATATATACATATATACGTATATATACACGTCTCGCGATGCAACAGATGTACGAGCAGTTACACTTGATTGTACATTATAAAAATATAACTGTATATTATACAGTTATATTTTTATAGGAGTAAAAAACCCTCCACTATACTCAACTTCCTTACTTTGTCATCAATATTTGTAAAATTCATAGTTATTAATAGGAAGAGGGATTTTAAGTATTCTTAAGTTATTAAAATGATGGAAATATGAAAAAAAAAACTCTAAAAATACATAGATAATATTCCTTTAAAAATGAGAAGATATGCTTAATAATTCTAAAAACATTTTAAGAACCAAAACACCTTTAAAAATTTTCTGAAAAAGTAATAAAATATGTTTCAAAATATAAAAATAAAAAGTAATTGTTGTAATAAATTACATTGTATTACTCGACCTCAATAACCGTATAGAAGCATTTTTATATACATACACATTATTTTAATTTATGATACCATGTACTAACTAATAATATTGAGAAATAAATGTACACAAGCAACGTTGGTGATGTTTTAAGGGAGAACAGAGATAATAAAATATGTCAAGAAAAAAAAAGTGCATTTTTTCATAGCTCTTGTTAAATAAGACGTCAGTCGTGGGCTCAGCCCCTGGTGTTGCCTCGGTCCACAATTAAGTCGTCAATGTTGAATTATTAAAATTTAAATGTTGTCATCGCTTGCTTTCAATTTTATTAAATACATATTTGTAATATATATATATATAAGTGTGATGGTGTCACGTTATCATTATTATGAGAATTTATTATAATAAAATACAGACAGCACATCCGCTGCCTGAGACTGATGAATTAACAATTAACATTTATTGCTAAATTGGCAATAGTCCAAATTATTATAAAAACCTTAAAGACCTGGCCATCTTGGTCTGTCGACTACAGTGCCTAGCATCACTTATCAGTCTCAGTACTCGGTTGTGACTGACCGGCTTACTGCTTAATGTAAAGTCTTTGTTTTTCCTTTTTAACCTATCTACTCTGTTCCACAACATTTCAAAATACTTGTGTCTTGCACTTCGTCTGCACCTTATACTTATGTGTTACCCTAATTCCCTTCCTATAACAACAGCCTTTCGACACCCACAGCTAACCCGGAGTGTCAGCCGAGTACGGTGACTGCTGTACGACAACACGCACTTGAATACGAGGCACGTCCAGAAAGTAAGTGTACTGGTACTCTCACAGCTGTAAGGAATACTTGTTCGACATGTTGGCAACATTGCCACGTAGCCTGACTCCTCCCCTTCAAAACGTGACCAATCTGAGGTTAGTGTGTTAAAAACTCTTGACGCAGTAGCATTTCTTGCGAAAAATGTCGTTCGTATCTCCTGCCAAGTGTGAAATTCGCTACCTCGTTGCGAAAGGAAAAGCTCCGGTTGAAATTTATAATGAGGTGAAAACTAATTACGGTAATAGAGCTATGAATCATACGAGTGTGTACAAGTGGTGTGGCGAGTTTAAAAATGGCCGTACTTCCGTGCATGACGATCAGAGGAGCGGAAGACCTTCAATTGTGACCGACGAACTTGTGAATAAAATCGAGATTTTTTGTGCTGTTCTGTCAGCTGTTTTGGGACCCACCTCGCAGGCAATTTCCGATATCCGACAGCTTCTTTGATTGTTTCGTGTATCAGGGATCTGGAGATTTGCGGAAATATCACAGAAAGTTCATCTAACGTCAATCTGCGATCGTCACGGACCGAAATCTCGATTTTTTTAGTTACATATAATTCTTAATTTATCAGTTAATAATAATTTTTAAAATCATCCCTTATAATTTATAGGGGTGTCAACTTTTTTTTTTTAAATGATAATATACAAATTTAATTAGCTTATAAAATAGGAAATTATCTAATTAGGAAAATAACAACTTTTGGACTACTATTTCCGATGTTATTATCATTTTTATGCATTGGCGGGACGAAGAATAAGATCGTGAAATGAATAGTGATAAAAATAGCAGCACTCACTCCTAACCATCAGTCATTACTTTAAATTATTAATAACTTCTGAAGTGCTAGTTCAAAAGTTCAAATCATTTTCTTAAATAAATTATTTCCTATTTTATAAGTTAGTTAAATATGTATGTTGCTACTTCAAAAAATTAAGTTGACACCCCTCTAAGATATGAGGGATGATCCTAAAAAAGTAATTATTAGCTAATAAATCATGAATTATATTTAACTGAAAGAAATCAAAAATTATTTTTCCAATATTGTATTTATTTTGCCAGTAATTGAGTAGTTTATGATATATCATGATTTATGATGGATTACTCTGTATTATTTAACATATTCANTTCCAATATTGTATTTATTTTGCAAGTAATTGAGTAGTTTAACATATTCTTCTATTGTAGTAAATCAAACCCTCCCCTCCTAATTCCTATTTTACCGTAATTTTAATTTACTAATGTATATTAAAATACTAATTTTACTTACGCGATTTTCATCTAAAGTCATTAAAGTATAATATGCTGCAGAACAATACATTGCAAAGTCACTGCGATTATTACCAAAAATAAAAGCTCGAACATAGTTAACCATATTTTGGGGAGTGGCAGTTTTAGATATAACTTCCTTTAATTTACGGATCGTAGATTCACGAAATGAGTCATGGTTCAGTTTTTCTAAAATTTTATATAATTAATATTATACAATAAGAGATTAAAATTATAAATTTTGAGTAAGGAAATGAAAAAAAAATTAAGTAAAAAATATTATAAAAAAAAATAATGATTGTAAGATGCATACAATAATTGTTTGTTTGACAAACGTTTGTGTTTTGATAGTAGTTCCGAATTTTTGTTAAGAAAAAATTATTTAATTCATAAATAATAGTAAAATATTACTATATAATTTTTTCCCCTTAGAGAAAAATATGCTTTAATTAACGCTTAAACAAAATAACGTTTTCGATTTAGTGATAAGATACAAATAATGTAATTTGGTTTTATAACTTTTTTAATTGTTTACACATTCGTCTGTTACATCTTTATTTATATAATATTACTTACTTTTGCGAGTTGCTGAATAACATCTATACTTTTCTAAGCAGCCATACAGAATATCTATTGCTACATCATATCTTTTTAACACAAGATCATCCACGTTTTCATTTTCTAATATCTAGAAACAAATACAAACACTTATTTTTAACCGCATTAATTCAAAGGATGGATTATTCAATTATTTGTACTAATTATAGCAAAGCTGAACATTATGTGGTTTCATGTAAGGCAATTTCTTTTTAATGAGATCATTGGAAATTTTTAAAGGATGCCTATAAAAATAAATAGAGGTTTCATAAATGGAATATTATTTTATCATTTATAATATAAACATAAATTATACCTGTAAATAATGATCTAAATATTCCTATACTTTAGTATAATATTTTTAATATACACTTTAATTTTACATAAAATTAGTGTAATTTTTACATGAAGTATCAAAAAATCGTACACAAATATACGAAATTTGATTGTGAGTGTTTCTTATAACTAGTCCCATTCATAATGTTTGTGTTATAACGAATATTGCACCAACAGATAAAAGTAAAGATTGCAATTAAATATTATTTTAAAACTAGATATGTTAGGTTAGAATGTATTGGTAAACTTATGCGTACTGGGTAACTAGTTTCGAGTTTAATATCTCAGTTCTAACAAACATCGCGCCGGAAGACAACGCCGAAAAACTTACAAAAATATTTTTAGTGTTTAATTTTTGTCAAGGGCACATTGGGTTACCACAATACCACTCTGATATATTTCTACAAAGATATAAATACTACTGGAATCTTGTTTTGACCGGGTCAGAAGAAGGTTTAAATTATTGGCGTAAATCTCTCAATAAAAATAAGGATTCATTATTAATATTATATTTTTAATAAAAAATAAAAAAAAGTAGCACAGTGTGGATGTGGTACATTTGGGACAAGTATATCTAGCGGTGAATAAAATCACCATCATAAGAAACGCTTCGATGTAAATCTGTAGATAGTGATTAGTTTTGAAAAATACATAGATTATTCAAAAATCTAAACGAACTTTAATTTCCTTATTTACATCCTAATTACAAGTTATATGATTTATAAGTGTAATATTTGAATAAATATCTATTATAGCAATTTAATGTAGTATGAAATTGATATTTAATAATTTAGTATAGTAATTTATACGTAAAAATGATAATGTAGTTATTAAATTTATGGCAAACGTGTATAAAAATCGAAGGGCTTGATACAAAACTTTTTATGAGATAATTTGTTAATTATGAGTAAATGGTCTACAAAGAATTTTCATCATAAATAAAAATTAAAACGGTCTCGCGTCGCTTCGTTATACACGATTACTGCACTGATTTCATATCTGCAATTATATTTTTTCTATCACCTTTAATTTTTGAGATTATTACAAATTGTAAAAACGAATATTTATATACAAAAAAAAAAAATAACTAATAAAATATAGGTTAAAATGAAATTCAACAACACAACAGCGGACGGAATATACCAAACGGAATATAATTCTAAATATTTCAATTGTAGCATTTATTTAAACACCAAGAGTTACATAGAAATGATTACTAAGACTTCTATATAAATGATTTATTACAGTAACAATACAAAAAAAAATAATGGTGATTTTAACGAAATATTGAGTTTTTCTTATAAATTTACTGTTAATAATTGTTCGCGCTCGTTATCACGCGATTACGCAATAGCAATAATAATGATGGTCGCCGACCAATGCAATAAACAGTAATGTTCGATCTACGTACGCGCGCAGACAAATCGCCAGCTTACAAGGAAATTATAATAAAAAGATACAGTCCACTATTTTTAATATTCGCATTTATCAATTATTTATTTATTTATTTGACGTATTGAACCAGTTCACAACATTTGGTCCATCGTGCCGCATCGATAAATTATTATATAGTTTGATTTTGTAAGTTTTGTCATCGCCATGCTCGTCGTCGTACGTTTGTTTCGATTAAGTGCGTAAGTGTATCGTCTTAAGTGCGTTTCGTATTTTTTATTATTTTATTTATCGTATAGCCATTCGTAATTAGTTAGAGATTCGTAAAAGAATAGACTCGTAAGTTCTAATTCTCATCTCGTGCTATTTCTGGTGTTTCGGTAAAAACGCCCATAACTCGAGTAACGTGTGCTATAATAGGAACACCATTGGTTTATTATTCGAAAGCCTATATAGTACACTCGGCATTTAATACAATAGAGCACTATTGTAATCCAGTTATAAAATTGACGATCTGAATAGATATCAACGTTATGGCAGATCAAGTACAGCTGAGCATTCGCCGCGGTCAGTTCAAGGGTCAACTATCCCAATTTGTGTCATTTGTGGATAGAAAAAGTGAAGAAAAAAACATTGATACCAGTCAAATAATATTTCGCCGAGTTAAGATATTGGAGGTGTGGCAAGATTATCAATCAGTCCAAGCCGAAAAAGAACTTACGGGGATTGCTGAAGAAACGGAGAAGTATAGAGAAGAGATGGAAGATATTTATTTTGGCGTTTTAGCAGAATGCGATAAACTAATAAAGAAACTTGGTTTATCTGATAATATTAGCATCAATAATAGTTCTCATTCCGTTCAAAATGTTCAATCTATTCCTTCTAAAACCAATACTATCAATAGTTCGATATACGTACGCGCGCGGACTAATTGCCAGCTTACAAGGAAATTATAATAAAAAGATACAGTCCACTATTTTTAATATTCGCATTTATCAATTATTTATTTATTATACGTATTGAACCAGTTTGCAACAATAGTAATAATATAAGTTCCCGATCACATATCAAACTAAAAAATTCAATTTTTTATTCCTCATAAAATTTTTATTTTATGATATAAATTCTAAACTTGCAAGTTGAGCTAAAATAGTGTTTAAAAGTGCATAATTTCTAAATTATAAACTTTCATAAAAATCAACTTTAAAGGATCTTTAATAAGATAAAAATGACATTTTCAATTGAAATTTTGCACGGATTATTTTTAACATATTAAAAATTAATAATAATTTTATTGAATACATATCAATATGCTATCGTTGTACTACATCGAGTTGTTGTTAGTCTATTCTCTATATCTGCATTGTCGCCTCCATCTTAGCGTGATTTAGCTATAAGCTCTATGGCGCTTGCTAGCCAGTAGTTTTATATTCGTTTTGTTGTAAAAGTAAAATATTACCTTTGTGATTGTCGCACCCTTGGGCGCTCAGTTTATCACCGTTGAGTCTATATATTCATGTATAAAGGTGCGATTCCTATGCACGCGTCTATAGACGCGTGACCGACGCGGCGCGATTTAAATTTAGCCGCGCAGGTACTACTTTATTTGTTTTTAAATATAACCAATCCTATGACCGCGTCTGGCGCCGCGTGACAACGACCGCTTCGAGAGCAGTCAAATCGCACGAGCTGCGCGGCCAAAAACTAAAAATATAGAAAAAAGCAAAAAAAACAGCCACAAAAATTACCTGCTCGTGGATTGTAATTGTAATTAATATATTATTATTATTTTATTAATTTATTATTCATATTTTAATTTTCAAAGTTTGACATTTTGTAAACGCCGTGTGATGTCTTCTGCTAAAGTGTTATACACAGTAGAAGAAGACATACAATTGGCTGAATGTGTAAGGGCACATCCATGTTTGTAAAACCTAAAAAATGCCAACTACAAGGATCAACAAATAATGACTTGATACAAATGCGTGTACGTTAGAGTGGAACGAAATATTGAAAAAGTTGATTATTGAATTCTAATAGATAAAAAAAGTTGTAGTTTAGTCTCCTGATTATGGGAGATAAAAAAAAAAAATTTTTTTTATTATACCTTCGGGTGCCTCAAGAGGGTTGAAAATTTTACTGTGAGGGTAATTTTTTCGTTTTTATCACTTATCTTTTAATCTATTCTATTCACAGGAAAAATTATAACACCTTAGAAATTTTTTATTTTCCTTGTTGTATGACAAGGTAAATAAAAAATTCTTAAGTAATGTGTTCTGTAAATTTCATAAAATTTTGTAATAATTTTAAGATTGTGATTATTTATACACATATTTGATTATGGACTACAACTTTTTAGTAATATTAGAATTTGCAAAATAAAATTTGTTTTCGTTCCACTCTACTATTAATATTCCTAAAAATCTATTTTTTTTATAGAGGGCGATTTAAATAAAAAAATATCCCGTCGATAAAAAAATTTGAACCAATATTTTAAAAGATATTGACACTTTTATAAGTTGGAGGGAAAAAGACTTTTTTTGGCAAACTAATACTTGATTATAACAACTACGTTTGGTAAAGAATATGATACACACAACAAAAATAATAAATAATCAAATTCTAAACAATTTTTATACGACACATTTTTATTGTATGTAGAATATTTCGTCTGCAATATTTAAATAAACTAATAAAAACGATTTCAACGGTAAAAATAAAAATATGTTGTTTTTTTAATTTTAATGACTATGTATTATACATACGGCTTTTTTGCTAATAATATTTTTAATGGTAAACATTTAGTTCTACAAGTTTAAATCTATAATTTTTCCTGTGAATAGAATAGATTAAAAGATAAATGATAAAAACGAAAAAATTACCCTCACAGTAAAATTTTCAACCCTCTTGCAGCACCTGAAGATATAAAAAAAACTCACCTTATTCCTTATTTTCGATATAGCCAAAAACTTAATGGTTTTAGAATTGGAATTAGTAGTTTTTAGCTTCGATGCGAAGCGGAGTAGGTATTAATTTTACTATGATGTGTTTTTTTTTTTTATGTCTGTTGCCACTTTTTCTCAGCTCTCACTGGACCGATTTCTTTCAAAAATACGTCAAAAGATCACAAATCGTATCTAGTTGAAGACATTACCCTTAAAAATTGAAAAAAATTCCCTCGTTTACCGTAAATGAGGGAAATATCCAAAAAAATTACAAATTTAAAAATCGCTAATTTTCGAAATTTTTTCACTTTTTTTTCTTAAAACTTCCATAACTTTTTGAAAAATCAACAAATCAACATAATTTTTTTTT